CAACTGAACATATGTATTTGCTGCGAATTTTTAATCGCATTTTATGTTTAAAAATTGTTCACAAATACTCAGGTTTTGCCACGTGCGCACGCAATGCTTATGCTCTTTAAGCAGGCGCTCACTCTCAGTGCATGCTTTTATATGAGCAAATTTGGACATTTCTATCACTGTTGCCAACTATGTGCCTTTAGGCCAGTATGCAGCTCTCAAGAAAAGCCAAACGTCCATATAAAATGACTAACAAGAAATGGCTAAGAAATTTTCTTGTGTAAAATTTTCTTGAGGCAGTACGCAGTTCTTAAGAAATTTGTTCCGCTTTCTACTACACTTTTCTAAAGCTTTTTGTGAAAAAAGAGCACAAGGAAACCCATGCTTGCAACAGAAATATATGCGTGTTCCATTATTTCTTGAGGAAAGAGTGAGGCAACAGGCTTGTGAGGTATCAGGTGTCAAAATTCCTTGGACACACACACGAAATAATGGCAATGTTTTTCTTTGCCGTTTTCTTGAGAACTGCATACGAGCCTTTTCGCAACAAATTTAGTGCTTTTAGGGAATTAAAACGCGAAAATTTTTTCGTTTAGTGCTTGGTTCGTTCTTTGGTGCTCTTTTCTATACAATTTTATAATAAAAACGTGATTGTATGATGATATTGTATTTATTTTGTTCATTCATTTATTCATTCCAAACGTTCGGGAAACTTTTTCCGTTTGTTTATTCGAACATTCTGGATAATATGGTCCCAGATAATCCAAACGCGTTATTTTCACACAGTTAGTGATGGCACGATTAATCGAATAACAGATTAAAATCGGTTATTTTCACTCGGTTAACGATTTAATTGTATCGAAATTTTCCTTTCGATTAATCGAGCGATTAACCGATTAATTTTGAAAAAAATCGAAAAGAAATCATCAAAAACTGGCTACTTTACTCACACAATAATGAATCAAAATTCCGTAACAAAATTGGCATTCTAACCACTCAAAAATATTAGCAACAATAAAAGTGTCCATTCTACCGGATACATACATATATATGTATACTTTTACTAGTTGGGAGATTTTTTATATTCTCGTATTCTGCAAATTTTTTAAAACGATATTTTTGCAAAAAGCGCAACACAAGTTTAACCTAACAACTAAACAAATAAAACAACTAAAAAACACAACGCAGGTATCCACATATTTTTATTTTATTTTCCAAATGCGGTATTTCGCAATTGCTTCCGCACGCTTTTTTATATGGAATTTTCCGTTATTCAGCTTAAAACAAAAAGTGGTTACACTTAATCACGTATATCTTACGAACCAATTTAACAATCTTAATATGAAATACGGCAATTGAAAACTAACAAAATTCTTCATGGACCGTGTATACATCACTTTTCGATTGGTCGGACAGTTTAATTAATCATTCCAGATTTTATTTTTTTGTATGAAAATATGAAAAAAACACTTTAACAGAAGAAAAATTTATAAAATAGCAGGTTCTGTGTCAAATTTTTGCCTTTGTGCTAAAGCCTGGGCTCGAATCGTCACATCCGTTCACGGANAAAGAAAATTACGTGATACGTCAGGCAGTATAAGCTGAATGGGACAAAGAGTACGTTCACGTATGTCATGATCCGAAAAATGTATTTTTACGTGACGAATAGTACGATATCGTATGTGACGATTCGAGCTCTGTTCTGTTACAAAAAAGTCCAAGTAACTAATGAAGAAAATCGATGGACAAATAAAGAAGTAATGAGTGGTCAAAAGAAAATACGCAAAGATTTTTGGATGAAATATGAGTGTTAAAAATGGTCGACAATTTTTTGCAATTCCAAAAGTATTTTATTCTTTAATTCGTTTATAACTTTTCCAATTCACTCTTTTCATAGAATGAAAAAATTTAGTCTTGTCGCTCTGCCTTCTATTCCGGTTCTGCTTCGTTCTTATCATACGGCTCCCGATTTGCCAAATTGCTCCCCTTTTTCGTTTTCGTTTTACTTGACCAATCAGCATGCGCCACGTATGCTAGCTTACAAGTTAGGTGAGTGGGGCTTACTTTTGACTTATTCCAACTGTGCTGCCAGATCGTTCGTAACACTCCCCCCTGGTATATGCTGCCGATCAGGATGTACCGAGCTCTTCAGGTCTAGAACGGCTATTTTGGCAGCAGGTCTTTCATAGATGCCACAAGTTGTCTTGAGCGTAGCGCTTCTTACCTTTCCATCGGCACTCTTTCGGACCTCGATCACCTTACCCTTTGGCCAACAGTTCCTTGGGTTATTAGGATCCACTATGTACGCAATGTCACCGACTTCGATGGCTTTAACATCCGCAAACCATTTGGTTCTCCTAGTGATTGTGGGCAAATACTCAGTAACCCAACGTCTCCAGAAGGCGTCTGCGAGTTGTTGCGATGTTCGCCAGTTACGACGCATTAAAACGCCCTCAGTAACCGGTTCCGCGATCGGCTTAATACCACTAGAGTTACCTAACAAGAAGTGGTTAGGTGTAAGCGCCTCTTCCTCTTCGTGGTCGACAGGAATATAAGTTAATGGTCGTGAGTTGACCGTCATCTCCACCTCCATTAAAGCGGCACGTAGAAGTTCGTCATTCGGATGGCTAGTTGTCAAAATCCGTTGAAGTACGTCCTTTACTGAGCGAACTAGCCGCTCCCAGGCTCCGCCCATGTGTGGCGATGCGGGTGGTATAAAACGCCAGTTTGTTGCCGCAGAAGTGAAGGTTTTCGTCAGCAGATTTTTATCCAGGAGAGCAAATGCTGACTTCAACTCCCTCTCAGCACCTTTAAAGTTTGTGCCGTTGTCACTCCATATCTCCAACGGGCTGCCTCTGCGAGCCATAAAGTTACGCACGGCCAAAATGCAGGAGTCTGTGGACAGCGAGTACGCAATTTCGAGGTGCACCGCTCTGGTTGTTAAACAGGTGAACAACACTCCGTATCTCCTCTCGGTGCTCCTTCTAACAGTGACGAGAATCGGACCAAAATAGTCGACGCCTACGTAGGAAAACGGACGGCAAATTGCTGAGGTGCGCGCTGGAGGCAAGCAAGCCATCCTAGGTGGTCGAGGTTGAACGCTTCTGTTTTTACAAACCTGACAATTGCGTCGAATTTGATTGGCCATGATACGAAGTTTTATGATCCAATACGACTGCCGAATTCGTTGACGACTGTCTCCAAGCTACCGTGATGATACTTTACGTGAAAGTGGTTTATGATTAGGCGCGTAATATGATGGTTGTGTGGTAATAGTACTGGGTCTGGTCGCTCTACTATCTTAACTCTGCCATCTATTCGCAAAACACCGTTGTCATCTAGATAGGGTGATAGCTTGAAAATTTTGCTGGATTTGTCGACAGCTTTCCCAACTGCTAAATATGCTATGGAGTCTTTAAAGTCGTCGTGCTGTGCTTTCCTCCAAAGGTAGCGTTCTGCCTTCCGAAAATCTTCAGTACTTGGGACACCACCAACAAAGTGGTTATCTCGAATTACACTTAACCAAACCCGAGCGCAGTACAAGACCATAGTGGTTGCTCGAAGAAGACGATTCCAAGATGAAAATCTCTCAGCTTCGGGCACTAATAGAAGTGGTTCTGACGTTAAGTGATGAGCGCCAATAAACTGTGGACGGAGCTCTTCAGTTGAAACGCCTTTACTTTGAGGCTCATCGGGCCACTCTTCACGCGTAAGGTACAAAAAAGATGGTCCACTAAACCATCGGCTGTCGTAGAAAGGTCCGGATCACCATGCCATTTGGTGGCTTCGTCAGCGACATTTGCCGCGGTTGGAACCCAGCGCCATTCCTTTACGTCAGTCAGTTCCAGAATCTCACTGACTCGAAAGGCCACAAACTGCTTGTAGCGTCGGTGATCGGCATGCAGCCAGGCTAATACTGTTCGAGAGTCTGACCAGTATATGCAGCTATCAACGTGGATTGAGATGCGATTCGATGACATGCTTGGCCAGTCGAGCTCCCAAAAGTGCAGCTTTTAGTTCCAGGCGTGGTATGGATATTAACTTGAGTGGGGCTACTCTTGTTTTGCTGGCGATCATCGTACAATCAATTGCGTCATGGTGTGAGTATCGAAGGTAGCACACTGCGGCATAGCTGCTTTCACTAGCATCGACAAATGTGTGTAATTCTATTTGAGGGGTTCCGCCAAATCTGGTTTGCATATAGCAGCGCGGGATTCTCAGGTTTTCAATTTTCGGAATGAGTTTAAGCCACCTCAGCCACTTGATAAATTGGTCGTCTGGAATTGGGTCGTCCCAGTCGCATCCAGTCCTCCATATTTCTTGTAAGATGACTTTGGCGTACACCACGTAGAAACCGATGAGCCCAATTGGGTCGTATATAGTCATAACCAAGCTCAAAACTTCGCGTTTGGTCGGTCTCCGCTGGCAAAGAAAGAGGTCGGAATCCCTGTACTTGGCGGATACCCGAAATGCGAAATGGTCGCTGGCGGTAACCCACCACATGCCTAACACCTTCTCGGTAGGCAAATCTTTTTCAAGATCGAGACATAGCGCGTCAGTTGAGCTCTCGTTCAGGGCAGCCAATACTCGACTAGAGTTCGATAGAAAATTTCTTATGTGAAAGCCTCCCATCGCATGCACGTGACGCACATCTTGCGCCAACTTTATAGCCTCTTGTTCTGTGTCCATCTCACCAGCATATCGTCGACGTAATGGTTTTCGATTATACAGCGGGAAGCACAAGGGAATTCCCACGAAACTCTTCGGCATTTTTATTTTTGACGTATTGAGCGCAGCTGGGTGAGCATGTGGCCCCAAAGGTCATAACTGTCATCACAAAGGTAGTTGGCTCGTTGGCGTGTGGTTCATACCAAAGGAAGCGTAAGAAATTTTGGTCTTCTTGACGGACACGAACTTGGTGAAACATTTCAGCAATATCGGCCGTGATAGCTACTTGCTTTTGTCGGAATTTAAATAGCACCGAAAGTAAAGGGGCTGTTAGGTCTGGGCCTTTAGAGCAACATGCTATTCAAGGACACACCATTAACCTTCGCGGCTGCGTCCCAGACTAATCGAACCTTCCCAGGTTTGTTAGGGTTTGTTACAGCAAAAATCGGCAAATACCAGTATCTTTCAACGGCAGCATCGAGTGGTGTCAAACGTCTGGCGTACCCCTTTTGGATATAATCGTTGATCTTTTGTTGAAGCACCTCAGCTAAGTTATGGTCGCGTTGCATCTTCCTACGTAGACATTGCGCCCGAAATAAGGCCATTTGAAGGCTATCGGGGAGCTGAGTATACGGATGTTTCCATAATAAACTGGTCTCGAAACGGTAGCCGACTCGCACGGTATGTTGTTGTAGCTGCTCCAAAGCGATGACGTCTTCTTTGGACAATAAAGCAGCAGGTTTGGCTGACACGCCTAAATTATCAAGGCAAATGTACGCTTTAGTTATTTGAAGCAGCTCAGCTTGGGCAGAGCAGTTACAAATGTGATAGACGTGGTGTACAGTATCGACACCGATTTCAGGTGTCGATCCTTTCAATGTCCATCCAAGTCTAGACTTTTCTGCTATTGGCTCATTTTCGCCACCATATAAAGATTTGATTGGAGATCCAAGCGCAGCGTTATTTAACCCAATCAGTAGTTGTGGTGCGGCATTTGAATATGACTCCAACGGCAAACCTTTCAAATATTTGAAATCCGACTGCAATTTGGCAGCGTTAAGTGATTGGATAGGCAAGTCAAGTTTTTTTACTGAGCGAACGCCTTTCAGCGCGAATTTCTTATCGCCGTTTTTAGCGGATATGGCTAGGTCGACTACGACAGACTCGTCCTCATACCGATGTGTATCACCAGTCCACCGTAGGCAGAGTGGTTGTGGTGTGCCTGTTACGTTTAGTTTTTTCAACAGCTCTTCGTCGATGAGTGTGAGGGACGAACCATCATCTATGAAGGCATAGGTTGGCACTCTACAACGGCCCGAGTGTAGAACTACCGGGAGTACTCGAAATAGTGTGTTGCTTCTGCCAGAACTATGCATATTCACATTGGCAGGCTGTGCTAAGACGCTCGCCCTGACATTTTTGGACGCTTGTACAGCTTCAGCACCAACAAACTCTGTGTTGTGTAGTAAGGGATGATGACTGCGGGTGCAACCATTAACGTTGCATGTTGCAGCCGATTTACAACCAGTTGTGGGGTGCTTCCCCAAGCATCGTTGACATAGTTTCAACTTGCGAACTACCTGCCACTTTTGACTTCGTGGCATTATCTTGAAAGAGGTACAATTAGAGATATCACTGCAATTTTCTTCGCAAACGATACATCTTACCGAATTAGTATGATAGTTAATCGCGCCACGTTTGCATACTTTTGGTGACTCCTTTGGAACAAGAACGCAATTAGCACCTTGGGCTAGCTGGAAAAGCCAATCGCTGAAATGTTGTAAATTACAGACCGCTAAGCTTCGTTTATGCATTCCCCAATATGCTGGTAAAAGCCCAGGCAGTTTCGAAACCAGCCTCTGTTCAAACTCGGGATTGTTCAAATGACTGGTCAGGCCTGATGCCGACATCGTTGCACAGATATTTTGCACTTCTACCGCGAAGTCGACAATCGATTCGAGCTGGCTTTCGGACGGTGACGGCAGTTTACAAATTTGTCGCTGCAGAGCGCTGATAATCAATTCTGGTCGTCCAAATCGCATTTGAAGGGTAGCGATAATTTGAGGCACGCACGAGGAGTGCAACAATAGATTTTTAACTGAATTGCGCGCTGTACCTACCAATGCTTGCCGCAGTCTTAGCAGATTCTCTTCTTCAGAGAATCCACAAACCTCTGTCGATTGGTTATAAGTAGCGTAAAACAACGGCCACTCGCTTGGCTTGCCATCAAATTTGGGCAGCTCTGTAGCAAGGCTTTTGCGAGAAGCGACCTGGTCTCTGGTCAGTCGGCGATAAGCCGAAGCACCGAAGGATAAGCTATTAACGTGCCCGGCTATGGGAAAAGTTGTTTGCGCTGGTTGCGATTGTGGCGGAGGACACCCTTCTATTGGGTGTCGAGTTATTTAGTAATTGCTGCTCGAGCGACTGTATTCTGTCCAATAAGGATTGAAGGACAGATGCTGACAGATCACCCACTTGATGTTGAACAGTTGATGTCCTTAAAACGGCGGTGTCGTGTGGAGGAACCCCTTGAAGGACAGGTGGATTTGCAGCAGAAGCAGCTATATTGAATGGTGCAACCAAATTAGGAGGTAGCTGCATTGTCTGCGTTGTATTTGGTGCTGAACCCTGCACTGAGGTCGAAGGCCTACGCATTGTATATTGCCTTTCATCTAGGTCATCGTCGAAACCCATTGCGTCAATACGATCCAGAAAGCTGTGCTGCTCTCTTAGTAGAGCCTCCCTTTGCCTTAAGATTTCGCTCTGCTCATGCAGCAGTTCGGCCCGGCGACGAAGCCCTTGCGAGCTGATTGAGCTTATGGAGTTAGCGGGGCTAGTTGGCCGATTATCTTGGAGCGGTATTTGATTGGGTGACATGGCATGCACCCGATTAGCAGATGTAAGAGCTCCAGAAAATAGGCGAGCATCCAGGATCTCGGGCTGAGTCGCAGGATCGTGTTGATGTGCAGCTCCAATATTAGTTCCATACTCTCCCTGTATCAGCAAGTTTTTGTTTGGAGCGACAGGATTGTGCGCAGTGGGATAGCTTGTCGAAGCCGCTAGATTAGCAGCGGCGGTGAAATCAGGTCCAACGGCGAAGTTAGCCGGCACACTAGAAGCCTCAGCTATATTCGTAGTAGCTTGCGACATTGCGATTTTCAATACGAAGTTTTGTTTAAGTTGAAACGCGTAGTGAAGGCAGAGTAAATTTTTTAAGATGTTAAAAAAGGTCGACAATTTTTTGCAATTCCAAAAGTATTTTATTCTTTAATTCGTTTATAACTTTTCCAATTCACTCTTTTCATAGAATTAAAAAATTTAGTCTTGTCGCTCTGCCTTCTATTCCGGTTCTGCTTCGTTCTTATCATACGGCTCCCGATTTGCCAAATTGCTCCCCTTTTTCGTTTTCGTTTTACTTGACCAATCAGCATGCGCCACGTATGCTAGCTTACAAGTTAGGTGAGTGGGGCTTACTTTTGATTTATTCCAACTGTGCTGCCAGATCGTTCGTAACAATGAGCATAAAAGCGTGCTACTTAGGTGTACATGGCGTATGAGTAACATTATTTCCTGCTCATTTCTCATACAAAAAATATTTGCGCATTTTCACTTGACCACTAATTACTTCTTTATTTATCCATCGATTTGCTTCATTATAACTTGATTTGTTTGTAAAGGAACAGGCACAACTGCAAGCATTTGACACAGAACCTGTTAGTGTTTTTTAATTTTTCTCCTGTTAAAATTTGATTTTTTTATTTTTTTCATAAAAAAAAACTGAAATGATTAATTAATAATAATAGATTGGCGCTTACAAATATGTTAGTGTTTGGCCGAGCTTCTCCTCCGATTTGTGGCGTGCGCCTTGATGTTGTCACACAAAGCGGAGGGACCTACAGTTTTACGCCGACTCCGAACGGCTATTGTATTTTTTATGAGCAGCTGTTTTTCATAGCAGCAATATACTCGGAGGTTTGCCATTGCCTGCCGAGGGACGACCGCTGTTAAGAAAAAACCTTTTTCTATATTTTTTTGAGATGTTGCTTTGACCAGGGCTTGAACCCAGGCGTTGCGGAGTGGAAGCGCGCACTGCTTACCACTACACCACCGCGGCCGACGAAATGATTAATTAGTTTGTCAGAAATTATCAGTCCTGTCGGAAAGTGATGTATAGACGGTTAATGGAAAATTTTGCTAGCTTTCATTTGTCGTATTCCATTTTCAGTTTGTTAAATTGGTTCATGAAATATAAGTGACTGAGTGGAACCACGTTTTGTTTTAAGCTGAGTAACGGTAAATGAAAATATCTCGAAAACATATCCATAGAATATAAAATTAATTCGATTTTTGGAATCAGCAGGTGATTCTGCATAAAAATTGGATAGTGGCGTCTGGAGAACAAAAACCAAATTAAAATTTCTGATCCGGTGTTATCATTAAAGTTAAAATGTCTTAGATAAATTAATAAAAAGTTTTTTCAGTTTTTCTTTACCGTGACAATTGTTACATTGGTGGGCAATGACGCAATTATAAAACTTTAGACAGAGCAATCTCTTTCGATCGGATTCAAATCGGGCGAATGTGAGGGCCTACTCACGATGGCAATGTTGTTTTCCTGTTTTCAGTCACTTGCGTACACGTATTTTTTTACGAAAAAGATTGATCTTTCGAATATTTTGAAGCCCACCAATGTAACAATCGTGTCGATAAAAAGATAAATTATCCCTTTTAGTTTGCTATCAAAATACCCACTTCCTTTCTAGTTGAAGAGTATATTTTTGGGGACTTTTGACAAAACAACCTCTATAATTTCTGCATATTGGACTTTAGAGTAAATTATAATGAACGTCCATTTAAAAAATTGACATTTTTATTTAACTTTCATTAAGATATCATCTTGAACTACTCCTAATAATGACTAAACATATAAATATCGTTCGAGAACTCAATGAATTACTGCTTTGAAGAGAAAATTACCTTGCTCAAAAGAAGTTGTTTTGTCCACAGATTTGTTCATGCGATCCAATTCTCAGTTGACCGGAGTAGAGGGGTTTCAAATTATTTCGACAAAACAGAACAATTCTACTCCTATCGGAGCAAAGTCCGAACGATGACTTATGAGGCTCTTTTTTACACTCTTTTTTTGGTGCACAGTCAGTATTACCGCACAGTGTTGCCACGAATAATTTTTTTTCCTACCAAAATTTCCTACCAAGACCAACCATAACCTACCAAAAATTGTTGAAGTTTTTAAATGGTTTACCCAATGCCAAGTTTATTAAAAATTTAGATAATATAACATTTAGTAAAACTAAAACACAGCTAGTACAACAAAAATAAACTAACTACGTATAACAATTAATTTTACTATACAGACTTACACAAAAGTTTGTCTCTTTACACATACATAAATATTATTATTATTATTATTATTTTGCTAGTATCGACCAGTTGTAGAAATTCGACTATCTCTCTTTTTTCACACCCTTTTTACTGTTACTTAAGACGTTTTTTAGATCAAGCGGCAACACTTGATCACCTAGGTCAATAATATTGTTGGCTGATTTGATACTTCATAGGAACAGAAGGGAGAATAGGTTCATACAAACTCGGCTCTGGAGCCACATATTACATATATTTTTGGCAGGTATTTCGAATTTGAAGCAAATGGGACACTAAATGAAATTTTGGGAAAACTCGACTCCTGCACCACCTACCGGAAAAAAAATCAAATGCGTACCTCCCCTCTGAAAAACTTTTCGAAAAAAATAACAATATATTTCAATATTATTATTGAGCTTTATACCACCATTTGTTTGTTAGGAAAAATGGAAAAAACAAGAAAGCTTATTCGGTAGAAGTTATAGCAGCAATCATTGAAATCGGTTGAGAAACATAGGTGCAGTAGGGAGGAGTATATTTGTATGGGACTTCGTTAGCATATTAATATATAGATGATAGTGGTGAAACCAAAGTAGGTATTCATAGGCTTATACGAAAATTTGATTAAATCTCTGGAGCCACCTATCGGGTCCATTTCTTGCAGGTATATTTCTATTGATGTTAGAAACACGTATTTTGAATTTGAAGCAAATCGGACTATAAATGAAATTTTTCGGAACAACTCGACTCCTGCGCCACCTACCGGAAAACCAAACAAAATGCGCACCTCCTCTTTGAAACACCTTTCGAACAAAAGAATCGGTTGAGAAACATAGGATCAGTAGGGAGGAATAGATTTATATGGGATTTCGTTAGCGTATTAATATATAGATAGTAGATGGTGAAACCAAAGCAGGCATTCATAGGCTTATGCAGAAATTGGAATAACTCGGCTATGGAGCCACCTATCGGGTCCATTTTTTGCAGGTATATTTCTCTTGAAGTTTGTAATACGTATTTGAAGCAAATAGGACCATAAATGAAATTTTTGGGAATAACTCGACTCCTGTGCCCCCTACCGGAAAAACAAACAATATGCGCACCTCCTCTTTGAAACACCTTTCGAACAAAGGAACAATCATTCAAAAGAATCGGTTGAGAAATATAGGAGCAGTAGGGAGGAATAGATTTGTATGGGATTTCGTTAGCGTGTTAATATATAGATCATTGCGTCAGGGATACTCGCGCTGCGACTAAGAAGATCTATTGTGCTTAACCCTACTTGTAATCACTCTAACCTTAGGCTATTTACAATGTTATATGCACTTTGGAGGGCGCCATGTTTCAAATTGTGGATGAAGAAGACAATCCTTCCCCAAGGTGTATCAGTCTGCTACTTATGAGAGAGTTTTACAGCTGTCCACAAGCCTGATGCCGTTTTAAAGGAGTCTAAGGCCTTAACATGCCTGACTATCCGACATTATATTTAATTTGTCCCTATTCGTCCTTCTACAGAGACCTCGAATTAAAGACTTCAGACTGGAATATAGTTGGGTAAGTGCAAATTGGCAGACTTTTTCTGAATCTTGGTCCAAATACATCTGCCCCAGTACTCTCGTCGTAGTTCTTTGATACGTCGGTATACCATACTTCGTCAATCATGGTTGTTATCACTTCACAGCAGTCCTTTTCAGGAATTCTGACCTTGTAGGGTTTGCAGAAGGAGAACTCGTGATTATCCAGCAATGCCTTTAGAACCTCCAAATGACCCGGAAGATCTCGGAAGATGGCCATCAGGCTAATGTCACATGTGGACAACGGGTCTTACTACCGTATTGAAAGACCAATAGGTTAGTTTTGGTGATATTCCCCAAGTCTTACCATGAAGTCTCTATCAGGTGGACAACGGTGGACTGAAGTGAGTGAGTATATTGACAAGTCCTTTTCAGCACACCAGTCTTCAGGACATATATGTACATACATATGCGTTTTTAAAGAACTATTTCTAAAATATTGTTCTTTGTGACGAGTAGTGATAAAACGATACCAGTACCGAGTACAGAATATCGATACTTTTCATGAGTACTGAGTAGTACCGATAACTCGATACTTTTTGACAAGTACCCAGTAAAGATCGAGAATACTAAAAAGTATCGACAAGCTAAAAACTTTTCTAAGTAAAACCTTTGTAAGCATTAAGATATCCATACACGTATGCGATTCTGTCGGTGCGAATCTGTTCCGACAAAATTTTCAACAATGCCCACCATACTTTTAAAGGAGGAACCACACACTTATACGATTTTGCCGCAGCGATTTATTCGAACCTTCACAGTTCTTCTCTTTGTCGTGCCGAAATCGCAGACGCGTTTTGAGAACGCAAAAGGTCAATAGAAGAATTTTGCAATATTAAAACAAAATTTAACGTAAGAAAACAAAACATATTTGATGTGGAAAAGTTAAGAATCTTATTTTTGTTGAAAAATATTTTTTGTTTGTCTATAAATTGACAGTTTTTACTGTGATAAAATCGAACAGATGTGCGCGTTCTTGCGTTTTCGAACCAGTAACGTCTGTAGCATCAAAAACGGTGCGGATTCATGGCGACAGAATCGCATAGGTGTGTGGATGCCTTTACACAAAAATTAAGATCTTTCAATTACATTAAGAAATTTAAAAAAATTTGCCAATAAATATTGGGTTCGAAAATTATCTTCTATGTATATATATCTAATATGAATGTCGTGTAAATGAATATAGCGCTCATTTACTTCAATACTGTCATAGCCAGCGTTGCCAGGTTGACGTTTTTAACGCCATTCGAACGTTTTTTGTATCCTGTTGACGTTTGGACATTTTTTGTGTAAAAAATGACGTTTTTTAACTTCCCAGTAATTTTTCTCTGTTACTAAATCTTGTAAGTAGAACTGATTTTGAATTATTTTCTTAATAAATCTTTACAAGCTTGTTTTTTGCAGCAGCTGCTTCAAAAAATATTTATTCTTTGGACACAGATGACTTAACCCTAATTTAAGCGCATAAATAAAATTACACAATTAGTCGCATGGGGCCCCTTATTGAAAATGTAATG